AAATTAATTAAAAAGAGAAAAACTGTGTGTAAAAACACCCCAAGAGAATGACAGAGATTCTTAGCTTACTAAAATAAACTGTAAGAAAAAAAAAGTCTTGATTTGAAATGTGTATTTTTTGTTGCTTGACAAAAAAACTTTGATTCAAACAAAAATGTATTTATACCATATTAAAAGAAGATATTTTGAACATAAAAAGGCAAATTTTGAAATGAAAATCTATTTAGCTTAAAATATTTTTTAAAAAGTGTTATTTTTAAAAAGTGTTATTTTTTCCTAGTTCTTTTTTGAATGTATCACATTGACAACAGTTTTGTGAATCAGACGTGTTTGCCCTGCTCCAGCTATATCGATATAAGTGGCTCAAGACATACATTAAAATTACTGCATGAGAAAAATATGAATTCACTAGTTATAACACATTTGGTATCTTGTCAAAATAATTTTATTACTAAAAACTGCAAGAGAATGGATTTTTTGACAAATAACTGACTAGAAAACTCTTCTAGAAAGAAAAGATACACAATTCTTTGTAAATATTGTCAGCAGTTTATAGTAAAAGGATATTTAACAAAAATGGCACACAATATGAACCAGGCAGAGACAGTCTTATGTATTAAAGAACTTCTAAAACATCTTAATATTTTTACAAGAACTGATTCTACAGCTGTTTGAATGAAGTTTCAAGGTATAAATTTCTCTAATCATGCTAAAGGAAGAGAAAAAAAGTCTTTTTCCTTAGCAATCCAAGTTGGCATGAACATTATTCAGGTATGTGTGTTTGCTTTATTGTAATATAAAAGTGTTTCTCCCAAAGCACACAAAACTCGGTAACTTCTCTCATTACAGGACTGGGACTTTCATGACTGATCAGCTTTGCTTGCTTCTCCTATTTATTACTTCCCTTTTCCGTATGACTGAGGAAATACTGAGATCTTGACCAAAAAACTATGGCCTTCTTTGGSATATGTTGACCATGGCCCTATACACAATGCAGTTCTCTCTAGGGGGTGAATTGTGCAATACTACTTCATTTTAATCCAAGAAACAGGAAACTCTTCCCATCCTCTGATTAGCTCGTCATTTAGGGGAAAAAAAAAAAAAAAACTTTCAAATTTTTCTGTTATTTGCAAATGTCAAACCAAATTCCTCACTATTATAAATAGGTACAACTTAGTTGCCTTAATTTCCTTGACAACAATTTGCAGATTTCTCTCTTCAATCTGCTCTCCCTTTAGGTTTAGCTCTCTAGCATTGCAAAGATACTTGTTTTTTCACTATTCTCAACAAATTAGAGTAGGAATATAAAAACTAAAAGAGTATTTTTTTGTATTTTTTGTTATAAATCCTTGCTCATTTTCCATTCTCTGCCACTGAAATCATTTTATCATATACTTCATAATTAGGTAACAAATCCTTTTAAAACCTCTTCACTTTTCCTTACCTGGTGTTCAGATAAGTAAAATAATTAAATTAGAGCATCCTAATGACAAAGTATCCCTTCATGTCCCAATTTGTTGTCTTCTGCCTCAGTCTAGTCATTCATTATCACTCTTGGGTATTGGTGCATCTAGTCCAGATATGAGGTTTACTAGTGTGTTAAATGCTTTTATGATGTAGGGTCACATACCATTCAAATAACCAGTGAAGTCATCTCTGTGGCATGTGATAGCATGAGTCCCATCGCTTACTATGGAAAGTATTTTACAGTTTGTGAAAAATAAATGCACTAAGAATCAAACCCTATACTGCCACGTTTATCTCACAATCAGRTAATGGTTTCCTTATAATTTTCTTATTTAGATATCCCTGGTCCCTCTCTAGAAGCTCCACATCCTTTTCCAAAATGATAAAAATAATCTTGGGTTAAAGGTCAAAAAAAAGTTTTGGGAAAGCCTAAGTCTGACAAATCATGAGAATTTGGACATATATRATTGCAGGAAACATGATTCTCTTTTAACAGCAGTACCTATTGAACCAGCTGAAAACTGGATCCCAACTACAAGGCAATGAGGTCACCCTAACAGCTTGAGCACTGCTTTGGAACTCACAAAAACTGTATTTAAATAGAAGTGTGCTTTAATTTTATTTATCATCATTTCTTATCATCTCATGGTAATTTATTATTGCACCTCTAAGCCTACTAAGTGCATTATCATTATTATTTGGATTTCACTGAATTGTTTATTTTCTTCAGCGAACAGAGTGCCAGCTCTTAAAGTCACCTTCAGATTGACCAGAAGATAACATGCCAGTCTACTCTTATGGATGAGACATTCCTTAAAACCAAGGCACTGGAGCAATCCCGTGCTCAGTGACACAGACTGAAGGGTATCAAAGAAAGAGCCGCACTGCTCTTCCTGAAGAGCCCCAGGAGCTGCTCTGGGAGAGGATCCTGCGCTCCGCAAACAGGAGGCAGGAGCCCAGGCTGGCAAGGGGCTCTCTGCAAGGCTGCAGCTCGCGCCTGGAAACCTTCACCCCTCTGGGGTCCTTGAGCAATCTGTTTCGTGTGGCCCTCAGGCTCCGCTCTAGGCACTGCTCATTACCGCTTGTGGCCAGAACTGAGTCATTTGGGACCTTTCCTTTTTCAAAGAAAAAGTCTCCGTCCTGCTCCCTCTTCACAGTCTTTCCTGTGATCCCAGACCCATCGTATCTCGGGCCTCGTGCTTTCTTGTGCCACAATATGCTCGGGGCTGGCCCGGCAGTATTCACCAATAGATACTMAACTATAAAATACATCATAAGCCATAACATCAAATCACAAGACAAATCATAAATAGGAAGGCAGACGCGCTCTGCTCCAGAACGAGTGCCGGAGCGGTGTGTCAGTAGCCGTTGATGGGGCAGGCGGCCCCGCAGCGCCGGGCGCGCGAGGCGCGGGGCGCGCTCACCCGCCCGCGGTGCCCCGGGCCCGCTCCGGGCAGCGAGCGCGGCGGCGGGAACGCGAGGCCCTCACTGCCCCCTAGCGGGGCCGCGCGWGCACGGCCGGCTCGCGCCCTAGCGCTTCTACCACAACTGCCCTGAATTGCTCTAAGCATTTTATTTTTAACACAACWGCGAAGCAAGACGTGCTCCCCAGGGCCACGCGTGCTTTGAACCGGAGCAGCAGGCCCCGCATGCCGGGCGGCCGGGGAAGGCCGCCCCAGGCAGCGCGGCTGCCGCTGCCCGAGTCGCCGGGGCCGCTGCTGTGATGTCCCACGAGAGGATCGCCGCGGCGCGGCCTCGAGACGCGCTCATGGCGTTCTCCTCAGTTCCCCCAGCAGTTCGGGTTTCGCTGAGTGCCGCCCCGCCGCCCTGCTGCTCTCCGAGACCCGGGCCCCGTTCCCCCCGCGCAGCCCCGCGGCCCGAACCGGGGCCCGG